TATTCCTTCTGTGAGTAAAAGAATATTCCAGTTTTCAAGGTTTAGTCTAAAGCCTTCCTTTTACTCTTTTTTTAGGTAGTATTAATTATGAGTTTCTACTACTAATCACTATGTAGATAACCACTCTTTTACTTGAATAAGTGTCTTTCTAGATACAATTTGACAGTTTAGTCTTATATTTCGACCCATTCAGAATATACCCCGTGTATTCAGGTCCTCACACTTCTCTCTGTTTCGCTTACTTTAAACCTCGCACCCACATACACACACACATGCACCTGAATACATCTTACTTTCTCAACTGGATCGTAGCTGCTGGAGGGGATGGGCTCTCTATGCATGTGTGTGTCTCCCACTTGGTGCTTGGCAGATACTTGTTGACAGAGTTGAAAAAAGACCTCTAAAGCTTCTCCTAAACCAAATCTTGTCATTGCCACAGCCCTTGAAGCCACTGGCACTCAGCCAGCAGACATTTACTGAGACAACCCAGAATACAGTCTTCAGTGAGTTCCCAGTTTGATGACACAAGACGGATGAAAACTTGTGTAAAAAGCCAAATAAATGTCTGTCCACAGAACTGTGTGAAAATCGAGGGGAAACAGCTGTCTGTCGGGTCCCCAGAAAGTGTCATACAAGATACAGCTTGAGATATATACCATGGTAGATAAGAATAAACTGTTTACAGTAGTTCCTTTAAAAATGGTTAGGAGCCTTCCAGGGAAGCAAAATCATGATGGCAACATCATTGTTTACTATCCCCAAATCCCTCATTAAAAACAAACAAGCAACAGGAAACAGAGCAATTAGGGTTGCCAAAGGAAAGGAAAAACACGCAAGTAACAACTTCCGCCAAAGTGATTCGAGTGAGGCCAAGCCCTACGCAACAGGAGAGACGTAGCCACTAGGCAGAGATTAAAGGAAGAGAAAGGGTCACAAATCCTGAGACAGAGAATGGCTAATACATGCTACCACAGGACACAATCCTCCTCCGAACAGAGCCCTCAGCAAGTAGAGCTGAGGCCAAACAGTCCAGGACCCAGTGTGCGGCTGAGGGCAGCCCAGGTCCCGCAGACCCACCGGGGAACTCAGGAAGGTTGGAGGGCACCAGAGGGGAGCACGTCCTATGCCCCAAAGAAACACCCAACAGAACCTGCTGGAATTACAGCCCGAGCTGAGAAGGAACGCAAGCAAAGGAACCCTTGGGCCTGGAGGAGTCCGAAGGTACAGCTCTCAGGATTGTGGCGAAAAGGGTTTTACAAATGATTCTCCCATTCACAATGGGGAGAAAAAGTCAAATGTTTATCATCAGAAATGGCTTTTGAGTGGAGATGGGCAATGATTTACTCCCTGTGTTACATGAACAAAAATAGTTAACAATGGTAGTTTAATAAAAAGTGGACATTAATTTTTCTTCTGTGGACATCATTTTCAGATGATGATTTGACTTGTTAAAATGACTTGTAATTGGGTGAATGATAATTTTAACTTATTTGTTCAAATACTTACAAAAAGCTTTTCTCTGTATGAAAAAATATTAGTAACTAGGGCTTTCTGTTAAAGATGACAACAAAGGCATTTTTAAAAATTCCATTCCCTTCCTTTGAAACTCAACAAAAAACCCACAAAGAATGAGAGAGAGGGAACACTCTGTCTTCAGTGAACAATGAAATGGCCACAATCCCAAACTATAAATCAGGAAACCCACCAGCCAGAGACCATAAAATCTGGACCAGAATGGGGGGGAAGGCTGAGAGCTGACAGACACTCCGCCAGGGGCCGAGTGGGGTATAGATTTCCCTGGGAAGGAGTGTGACAGTCCTGGAAGCGACAGTTCTTTGATTTCAGAGTCCAGATCGGGGACAAAGCACGAGCTGCCCCTGGGGACGGAGCTGTCCTAGCAGGACGGTAGGGGACATTGCTGACGGAGGAAGCACCTCTCAGGCCTCCCGGCTCCAGGCTGTGGAGATGAGGAGGTGGGCAGGAATGGGGGTGGCAACTGCCAGGTTATTACGCCGTGAGCCAGGCGTGTCAGAGGTTCTACTCTGAGTCACACCACCCGTGTGAGTGCCCAAATCTGAAGAGAGATGTGGGCAAAAGAAATAAGAATTTGGTGACAGAGTTGAAGACGATGAACGGAGGAAGTGCCCAGCTCACTGCCCACCACTGTGTGATTCACAAAGTGCCGGCTGCGTTCAAAGCTCAGCATAAAATCTATGCACCCAAACCGAGGGGGAAATTGAAGGGGAAAGGAGCAGGAAGCAAGAGTCACGTGCACGACATGACATCACAAAGACATCGCCCAGAGTGACGTTTCCACAAATAGGCTTGTTTCCGAGGCAATTACAACTCTGGTGTCTGGGGGAAGAGCGGCTTCCGAGTGAGGTTTGACTTCAAAAGGAGATTCTAAGTCAACAGAAGGAGACGACCAGCCAGGGAAAAAATCTGAAAAGAATAAGTTCAAAAAAAATAATGTAATAAAAATTATATTACAAGCAACAACAAAAAAAATGACTGTAAACAGATATGGTGCACAAGCTGGAATAACTCCCATAAAATGAGACGGAAGGGAGTAAAGATGTCGAATTGGTTTTTAGAAACAGTGATGGACATGAAAGGCGGACAGATAAGCATCACGGATATTTGTGAGAATGAAACAGGTGGAACAAAGAATGTTCAGGGATGATAAAGGGGAATTAACTTCCCTAACAGGAGCTTTGATCTGCGAGTCGTCTCGGGGAACCATGCCCCAAGAAAGGTGACCCACTGTACAGCACGCTTCTGGAGCTGAGCTTCACGGAAGAAGATTCCACGGGCTTCTGAGCAGGGAAGGGCAACAACGAAAAGCCCCTGCTTGGCCTCGCGCATCACCCAGCATTCAGTGCACGAAGGCAGCAGGATGGAGTCTGCACGCTCAGAAAGGAAAGGAAGTGTGACCCACAGATCGTGTCTTCATCTGGGCTGCTCTTCATGTCGAAAGGCAACAGAGGCGGTCGGAGAACGCATTCCCAGGAGCCCCTCCGGGAAAGCCAAGGCCCTTCTTTGCCCCCCGCAGGGCCAAGAGACTGAAGGAGAAGGAGGGTATCCAGGCACTACAGGCGCTGGCGAGAACGATGGGAGCTGAGCGCTGAGGTCGGTGCAGGACAGAATTAAGACTCGTCATCCGTCAGGGGTTGCATTTCAGAGCAGTGTAAATATCAGAAGCCTTGCATTATCTAAAGAAGTGGATGGAAACCAGCTGGAGGTTGGGGGTGTTGGGAGGAAATGCAAACGTGCTTGTTTCCTCATCCTTCCTGGTAGCAAGTCTACACTTTGCTAAGTCAAGATACGTCATTAAAAACAACTATCAAAATCTCTGTTTGGTTTCTTTTATCTTCTTTCTTAACTTTAGAGGATTCTTTGGAGAATTATTCACTTGGGGGGAGAAAGAGAAAATATGTTCCACAACCTTAAAATCTTAGTTTCTTTTTATCTAATACGCCTAATAAAATTGCATTAAAATTGTTAATTAAAGTTGCACATACATGAAATGATCATCAAATATCTATTGCTGTACACACACTGGTTATCAAACATTAATGTTATGAGTTGCAGTTTGGGTGATTTTTTTAAAAAATGTTATACTTTTTTTTGAATTGTTGGTCATGGGTATGTTTTGTTTTTATTCAAAAGCAAAGTCATTTTGCAATATAAATAAATTCGATATCAAAAGTAACAGGGCCCAAAGTGAGCCATGGCAGGAAAGTCCTGGAAACTAATTAAAGACAAGGTGGAAGGAAGGAAGGAAAGGGGGAAGGGAGGGCAGGGGAGAGGAGAGGAGAGGAAGGCCCCCTGGGTCCTAAGGGACCTTCGAGCATGGGAAGCAGCTTGCTTATTGGCACCCCCCGTATAAAACTCCCCCGCGTTTCACCATCTGAGACTTGGCTGTCGCTGGCCGGGCACGTGGCTCACGCTCCATCTAACTGTTGCACAATTCTCCTTGCAGTGTTCTGTGAGCTGTGGTGTCGGAACCCAGAGAAGAGAGCAGGTGTGTCAGAAGCTGACAGCCAAAGGCCGGCGTGTTCCCTGAGCGAGAGGGCGTGCAGGGACCTGCCCGCGGCCCCCTTGTAAGGTCTTGCCAGATGCCTGCAGGAGTAAGTATGTGAAGTTCCTGCTTCACCGGATGCACGGACTGTGTCCATCTTGCCGCAGTGGCTTTGTTTTCCACAGCAGCACGTCTAATCTGTGGGTAAAGCAAATCAGACAGAGCTCAGAATTGTTTAAAGCAGCAAACAGCACAACATTGAAGACCAAGGTGTGGTTCTCTGAAGAGGCAGTTCTAAGGGACGTTCACTCGCTTAAGAGATGCATCTTCTAGGTTTCCTCGCCCGGATTCATACTTCCTCATATCCTTGACTTTACCATCATTTCTTTTTTTTGGAATTCATGAGCGTTCCTTGTAGGAGTGAAGCCAATATACCTTCTGGTTTGCTTTGCTAATGATATATTTGGATTCATTCTATTAAAAATAGAAGAGTTAAGGATGTTTAAGTACTTAAGTACTTTTCTTATGTATAGTCTGAAACCAGCAAGGATGCAAATATGAAATAATTTTGGTTTTAAAAATAATTTGGACCCTTCCTCAACTAATTTTAAATAATAAGCTTAGTATAAATAATCAAAATTAGGGCTTCATTATATCCAAAACCTACTATGCATGTAGCATTCGACTGTATTTTCAATACACATGACAATATGTATTACAGGTGCATATGTATGTTTCAGGTAGGAAGCTGACAGGTGAGTTGAGGGCCCTACAGCCACTGAAAATAAAGCAGCAGGGTGGTGGCAGGAGGTGTGGCAGAGAGGTGGGGACAGTCACACGAGGAGCACACCCAGGGTCTAAGTCTGTTTTCCTGCTTTGTTTTTCACTGTCTTTATATCAGTAAAAAAATAAACATTAATTCCTTCAGGTCCCCTCCTGATTTTATGATAAGAAAAAAAATCAGAAATTGACAATTATTTTAAAGTTGCTTAGGAAAAGAATACACATATACATATTATATACACATATAAAATCTAAGTTTGCCAACAACTTTCCTGGAAAATCTCACAACCCAAAGTAAAAAAAAACAACAATAGCTTAAAAAAAAATTGCTAGTATTTATTGTGTGCTTCCTGTGTGGAGTTCCTTGCATGTGTGTAACCCACTTAACCCACAGCAAGACAGACATGATCCCCATTTCGAGAGGAGGGATCACGGCTTAGACAAGGCCTGAGACCTCACCCAAGGTCTGTAGCTGCCAGTTGGATCCCGTGGCCTGTCTGACCGCAGGTCTGTCTCATTCCTGAGCCCGGGTTCCTCCCCGCCTCTCTGCTGACTCATGGACGATGTTCACTTTTTTCTCTGGGAATTCTTTGAGGACAGATTTTAAAAATCTTGAGATCCCCTAAATTGGAGATTCCACGTTTTATGATGTTCTGGAACTCAAGAATATTTGTGGCGTATGGCACGGCATGATGCTGTGTGAGCTGCCTCTCTGTCTGAATTTTATTAATTGTGGACATTTGCCTAGCAGGGGAACTAGACCATAAACTGCCTTAGAGGAGAAGTAATTACTTAGAAGTAAGATTGAAGCTTCCTCTAAAATAATCACAGAATAACATGTGGGAATACGTCGTGGTTATTCGGGCATGCAGTGTGGTACAAGATGAAATTATAAATTATTATGGCATGCAGTGGAGAGCCAGAATAAAATTGCAAGTTTTAGGGAGAAAAAAAATTAAAAGAAGGAAAAAGGCAGTAGTATTTCTTCTTTACCCCACCCCACCCCATTCCCTAGCCAGTCAGCATTCATGCTGACGACCTTTCTAACACCCTGAGGACCTTTGCCCAACATCGTCAATTCATGGACCCCCATCACCGTGGCACGGTGACCCCTTAGAATTCCCCACTGCTCGGCACTCAGAAATAGCGTCCTGCTCTTCACCTTCCCCCACTGCAAGCCTGCCTATGTCTTTAATGCCTGTCTGTGACCTCTGGTTTTCCGTCCCTGTGGTCCCTGAGCTCTCTGTTCTTACACTAGATGCCACTCCTCTTAACTGGCATTCTCTGGTCACTCATGTACCCAGTTCAGTAGGCAGATGCTTTATCCCCTTCCTCGGCCCACCTAAGGCTAGAGGCATGTCTCTACTGCCTGGGGGTATAGCCGCCTCAGTGTCACACGATAGCATTTCTTTGTTAATTCATTCAGCAAGTATTCCTCAGGGGCCACTGTGTTTTAGATGTTATGATACAAAATTAAAAGACACATTCTCTTGTCTCTAAGAGCTCCTAGTTAAGTGGGAGATAAATATGATAACCAGGAAGGGTGAAGTGCCATTGGTGCCGTTACTGGATGAGAGGGTGGCGGTCAGCGCCCCTGGGGGTGGGGGGGCCGGAAAAAGCTTCATGAAGGAGGACCCTTGAACAGCTTTCTGAAAGATAAAGAGTCCGTTCATCAGGCCCTTGGGAGGGAGGGTTCAGGAGAATGTGGGAGAAGAGAGCAGGGACAGACGCAGGGGGCAACAAATGAGTCGTATGTTTGGGGAAATTGCAAGGAATTCTGTAGGGCCAGAACACAGGTTCAGGATGGGTTATGACAGGAGAAGGCTTGAGAAGTCAGCGGTGGAAGATGTAGAAGCCCATGCTAAGGAGTTTAGACTTTATACAAGAAGAAAATGATATGGTCTGCTTTTATTTTGGTTTATTTGCTCTGTACAGATACATGCTGTACAGATGTACTGGATAAATATGGGGGTGTAGGCAGCGAGCCTGGCTGAGGGAATCCGGCTGGGTCCCGGGGAAGAGCGTGAGGGGAGGAGCAGTGGGGATGAATTCTAACCGTGTTCCCAGGGTCTAATCTGAGCACACGATGCCTGACTGGAGCTGGGAGCTGAAGACGGGGACCGTGGTGTGCTTGGAAATGTTTAGCGGCCAGCGGTAGGGCAGGCGGGAAGGGGGAGAGGAAGCCATCATTTGCTGTCTCTGCTGATTTCTGTGGTGCGAGTTCTCCCATCAGGGCTGATTTGGGGCTACCAGTGGGACAGCACTGAAGGCTGGAATAGACACTGACAGTCTCACGCCCGCCAGCCGGAGCACAGGGCCACACCCCACGGGGCAGGGCAGGGTCCGGGTGCCTTCTGGGCTCTGCTTGAGGAAGCTGGTGGAAAGTGATGCCATGAACTCCAGGGAGAGGAGGATAATCGGGAAGGGATGGAGAGACAGAGATAATGTGTCTAGATTACAATATTCTAAGCTTGAGGTTGCGGGAGAAGGTTTCTAGTAAGCGGTGGGCGATCAGGTCTGGAGCCCCAGAGGGAGGCCTGGGCTGCACAGATAAACTTGGGAGGCATCAGCCTGGAGATGAGTTACAACCACAAGATCGTCAGGGAGAGGTTCAGTGCAGGGAGAGAGAGACGAGGTGGCCAGCACTGACAGCGGAGGGCCGGCAGCGGCCCGGGGCAGCCTGGACAGGGGTAGCCGTCACCCACTGAGGGCCAGAGGCAAGCGGGGAGGGGGCTTCTTCGAAGCAGGTGACGAGGGCCCTGGAGGGAGGCATGCAGTTGTCACTGGGGGCCCTGGGCGGCCTTTCCCAGAGCCCTCCGCGGGGCACTGTGGACAGAGGCCGGCTGCCCTCGGCAGCGAAGCAGGCAGACGCCCCTTTCGGGCCCAGGGCGGTGTTCACTCCAGCCTCTCCCAGGTGGCTTGGCCTCGGCACCCCTTCTGCGGGTCCCCACAGCCTCCCCTGTGGCTGCCGCCCCACTTCCTCTGCCTCTGGCCCCAGACGAGCCTGAAGGTTGTCGTGAGGGACCCCCGTGAGCCTGTCAGACCATCGGTGCCAGTGGGAGGGGTGCATCGCCCCAGCCAGGTGGCCCCTCAGAGAGGTGGAATGACTGGTCCAAGCAGCAGGGCTGACGCACACACAGATGTCTGGCTTCGGAGGGCCTGTGGCCTCTGCTGCCTCTTCTGCGGCCCCTTACCCGCCGGTGAGCCTCGTCCTCCTCTTCACGAACTCCGAATGCATTCGCCCCTTCCCTACGCTCGCTGCCCCCTCTGACCTGGTGTCTGTGGCCGGGCCATGCCAGCTCGGTCCTCCCTGCTGGACGGTGGAGACGCCCATGCCAGGCAGCCCCCGCTGATGGAAGCGCTTAACCCTTAACCTCAGGCCTCCAGGCTTTGTACGGCATTGCACATGTTTTCATGCACTTCAGTCAAACGTGCATTCTTTGCTGCTAAAGACTAGGTAGTTGAGGAATTTACCCATCCAAGGATGTAAACCGTTATTCATGTTTTAGTACTCAAATGTTTTAAAAGAGGAAAAAAAGATGCATTTGTTGACATAGATCAGCCCTGGCAGATTGCTGTCAAGAAGTTTTCATTATTGATATGTTTGCCTGTGTTTTCTTTTCTCTCCTGTTTTTCCTGTAGAAATGAAACCAGAGGTCAAGGTCAAACTTGGTGAGCAGGGCCCTCAGATCCTGGGTGTCCAGAGAGTCTATATTCAGACGAGGGAAGAGAAACGCATCAACCTGACTATTGGAGGCAGGGCGTATTTGCTGCCCAACACGTCTGTGATTATCAAATGCCCAGTGCGACGATTCCAGAAATCTCTGATCCAGTGGGAGAAGGACGGCCGCTGCCTGCGGAACTCCAGACGACTCGGCATCACCGAGTCACGCTCGCTGAGGATCCATAGCCTCGCTGCCCCCGACATCGGCGTGTACCGGTGCATCGCGGGCTCCGCACGAGATACGGTGGTTCTCAAGCTCATTGGCACCGACAACCGGCTCATTGCACCCCCAGCCCTCAGGGAGCTCGGGAGGGAGTATCCCGGACTGGGCCACGAAGAAGCCAATGGTTTGGAGGCCACGTGGCATAAGATGAGGCAGATGTGGAGTAACAGAAACGAGCTTCACCCGGGCCACAGCCAGATCGACAAGCAGCCTCTCTTGAGCGCTCTGTTGGGCCGCTGCAGCGATTCTGCAGGGAACACCGACTCCTGGGGGTCTGGGAATAAGCAGTTTGGAGCAGCCGTTAAGCAGGGAGCATACAGCATGGACGCTGCCCAGTTTGACGAGCTGATAAGAAACATGAGCCAGCTCCTGGACGCTGGAGAGGTCAGTGACGGCCTGGCCTCGCGGCTCATCTACCAGCTGGTGGCCGACTTAGCGAGGGCGCAGCCAGACCCCTCGCGGTGGAGGGGCACCCACGGGGAGGTCCCCCCCGCAGCCCAGCTGAGGGGGGAGACAGGAAGTGTGCCCCAGAGCTCCAGTGGGAGGCACTCCAGCAAGCTGACCTTCGAGCCACAGGGGCCGGCTCTCGTGCGGCCAAGTCAGCCCTCCTCGGTCTCATTTAATAGAACGGTGACTTCAAGGATTGGCGGGACGGTTTACATTACAGAAAGCACGGAGGTCGTCAATATACTGTGTGAGCTTGTTACCCCCGGGCGGGCCACGTATACATGGACCAAGGACGGAGAACCCATACAACCCTCAGAAAAGTGAGTGAAGTAAGAATTTTTGGGATACCTTGTAGATGGTTCACTTTGTGATACTTTCTTAATGATGTTTGCAGCTTCCTTGAAAATATTTTCAAATTCCTTCTTCTAAGAACGTGTTTCCAACAGGATTCTTTGGGAAAGAAACTCTAAAATGTTAGGATGTGCTTATTATATATGCACTTATTTTGTTTGTGAAGTTAAACCACACTGTCCCAGTCACTCTCCTGTAGGTGTGACACAAGACTGGGTATGGGAAGCCTGAGTTTAAGCATGTGTAGACACCCCGCAGAGCTTTCAGACAAAATCAGTACAAGGCCATCAGAAGGTAACACACCTGCAGTGATCCTGTATCAGGTAGGAACTGCACATTGGAATTCACAGCCCTTCCAGGTCTGGGACACAAGGCCCCTCATTTGAGCTCCCATCAGCTCCATGAGGTGGGCAGGGCAAGGGTTAATTGTTTTCTGATGAGGTCATTGAGAAACTGAATCACATGACTAATTCATGGCCAGTCAGACCCAGGCACTGTATCTCCTGAACACCCCCAGCAATGTTTGAATATCACACAAGGCCTGAGTAGAAAGATCTGGCATCTGAAGGAATTTTCTATATTGCGCAATTTTTTTTCATAAAATCCAAAAATAAGATGATAAGGCTGTAAGGTTTTTGAGATGTTCGGAACACAGTATTAAGTCATTTATTTTATTGTGTTCTCTATCAGTGCAAGAATATTACGTATCATCCATTTTACATAAAATAACGGAGGATAACAGAAATACGAATTCACGTTTGCATTCTCTATTGCCTTTAAATCTTGCTGTTGTGCACATAGGACTGGAGATGCTTTGCTTTCTTTTAATTGCATTTAAGCAGAAGCTGTACCTTCTCTGCCTCTAGGGACTGTTAAGAGACACAAACAGAACCACAGATGTGAAATTGTTTATAGACCATCAGGTACTTTAGAAATGCAAGTTTTATTTTTGTTACGCCTTTTGTACATTGAGCCCAACATGTGAAACATCAGAAGAAATGTAGGTAAAAGAAATCTAGGTAAAATTCAATTTTTTATAGTAAATTATTAGGCTATGCCTTAGAATGAAAATGTAAGACAAATCTCATTTTTAAATTTTTTGCCCTGGAACTTTGAACACAATATGTAATGAAGTTTTAGAAGTGGAATAAACCGTCCAGATCAACTAGCTTAGCAATTCTCAAATCTTTGGATCTTAGGACCTGTTTAAAGTCAAAAAGGGATTGAGAAACCCAAAGAGCTTTTGTTAATGTGCGTTACATCTATTGATGCTTATCACACTGGAAATTAAAACCAAGAAACATTTAAAATATCTGTTTATTAAACTATCTAGAAATAACAATAAGTAGCCCATTACATGTTTACATAAATTACACAGTTTCTGAAAAGTGATATTTTTAAAGATTTACTGATAACAATGGCATTGTTTTACATCTTTGTAAATCTCTTTAATGCCTGACTTAATAAAATACAGCTGGGTCCCCATAAATGCTTCTACACTCATCTCTCATGTATGTTGTTTCAGTTGAGATTCTAGAGAAAATTTGGCTTCATACAGATAGGTTAGTTGGAAAAAGAAGGAATATTTTAATAGCCTCTTCAGATAACTGGCTATTCTTTATTACTACACTAAAACTGGACAAATGGTAGTATCTTATAGGTTTATTGGAACGTGCAATCTGAAACCATATAATTTTGATACTCTGTTACAATGAAATCTATTGGTTTATCTTGAACTTTCAATGGATCTTTTACCTATTCAAATTTTATGACATTTTGCATTGTGCATTTGGAAAATATTGGCTGAGTTATATACATCTTTGAAATGTTGACACATGTAATTATTCAATGTAAAAATTACACATATTCTTTAACATCTACCTGTCTCATCTCATCAGAGAAGCCTCTGAGTTTTGGAAAGTTACCAGACTCACATTGGAGGACACAAATTTCCCAAAATTTGATTTTTACTTGAAAGCTTGAATTTTATCACAGTCAACAAATACTGTCAGATGTTTTCCTTGAATTGTCCAGCTCATTTTCATTCATCTAAAAAAAAACATCTGGCCTATATACCCAAGTCCTAGTAATCATAGTTTATCTGTCATTCTTTCAAGTTGAAAAAAAGCAACTAGTTCAGGTACCCGTTCACACTGTCACACCGACATACTCAGGCTTGCAGAAGGGCCGTGTGTGTACACACAGAATCTTAGAAACATCTGCACTCGAGGGCTGAGATTTAGTAAAATTAATGAGATTTACTGCCTCATTAAGGACATCCTTAGGGGAAACTAGCGGGCTTGTTTTTACTGCGAGCGTGTGGTGGTCAGGAATGCAGGGACTTCTGGGGCCCCGAGGGCCCACTGCTTCAGTTCCTGCTGTCATGCCAGCAGTTTCTACCTCCGCTACTCTTACTATCGGTGCAAATGTCAGCACCACGAAAATGGCAAATGATGCCTTAGTATTGTTAGGAAAATCGCCTTGGCCTCATGGCCCCCCGTGGCCCATGCCCTACCCTCAACAATTTCATTTTATAAATGGTGAGGAAACAGAGGCTGAGAAAGGTAAGTGATCAGCTGACCTATGGCCGTAGTAGTAGAGGAGGGATGCGCTAGGGCACGGCCACTTTAGGTCAATGTTTGTTGAGGTCAGTGGATTTTAAAAAGTTTGACTTGATCAAATGGAATTGACACCAGTGTCCGAGGCTGAGACTCCTGGAGGTTATATAAAGAAGTTTTGACATGGTACCGCCTACTCAGATGTGTTTCTGCCATACTTTAAGGATCAACCACTTGATATCTGAAGCAATTCCATGGGCCCTTAAAAGTTTTTGTCTTAATTTTTAAGCGGAAAAAAAACAAGATCCATTTTCATTTCCATTTTTTTTCAAGCTTACCTAAATTGTCCAACTTATGCTTAGTATCTTTTATGTAACAAAGGTCCTCACTTCTAGATATATTTTTCTAAAATAAGTAAGTGTATTTATTTTTCTAAATCTCACAAAGCTTTCCAACTGAAGCAGTTCAGAAACGGACTTATGTTTCTGAGAGCCTGTATCCAATAAGAGGAAACCGTATAGACAAGCATGTTTTGATACCAGCTGAGTAAGAAATCTCAGGAAGGGAAGGTGGGTGGAGCCCGGGGGCTGGTGCCGATGGAATGATGAGCTCTGTTGTTACTTCAAGATTAAGGTTGTGCAGCAGAGGCCAAGGTCAGATCCCTGTGAAAACTCCCCACACGGGTTCTCCAGCCCAGGGACCCATCCAGGCTGCATACCTGCGTGGCTCCCCCTGGCAACGAGGGTCGCGGTGCTCAACTATTCCTAACCTCAGTAATTTCTCACTGCATGTAAAATTGAAGCCTACAAAATAAAAGCATTTTCTGAGAATTGCCAAATGATACAACATATATATGAAATGATTTGAGAAAAAATTTTAGTGTATTGTTTTTTCTACTTAGTAGCTACACTTTTGTTCTTAATCAGCTATTCCCTTTAGGGATTTGACAGTGAAAGTCCAGCCCTACCGGCAGCTCCTCTGCCATACTCCTGGTTTTGTGCTGGGCAATTCAGCTATTAGGATTTCTGCCCCCTTCTGTAGATTCCATGTGTGAGTGGCAGGGGGGCTCGCATCCTTCTAGTACATTCCCTCTATGCCCTTATTCTGTGCCATTCTGAGCATACATATAGTCTCATCAAAGGTTTTTGAGAATTTGCTGTATAAAAGTCACTGTGCTAAATAAGCCCAGAAAATGCACAGCTGTAAAATTTGGTCCCTGCCCTTGAAACGATCACAATCTAGTGGGAAGATACAGAGATTTCACCAAATAAGTACATGAACGGAGGAGCAGGAGCCCAGAGGGCAGAAGATAACTCGGGGTGTTGGGGAAAGGTTTACAGGGGAAAGTACGTTTGGTCCAGGAGTCAGGGAGTCCGTTGGAGTTTGTCCAAGGGGCAACATATGCAAAAGCTCAGGGTGATGATCGATTGTGGAACGTGCTGGAACCCGTGAGAGGTCCATTATGGCTGGACCCTAGGATGAGCAACATGCAGTGACAAGAAACGGAGAGGTGGCCCAGCTCAATGGGCTCATGTTGTCTGTGAAGAAACATAGTATTTAGTGGTCAGAACAGTCTGTGTTGCTAAGATCAGTGAAGTGGGAGGGGGCGGGGGAAAAATACTACATGGATCATTGATTCAGACCATTAAGAAGCAATTTCAAATCATTAAAAAAAAAAACATTTAAACTGAAACAAAAGCAGACTGTGCCCTCCTTTCCATCCCTGAAAAATCACTCCCCCGTCAGGATTCACCTAACTCTTGAGTCTCAGGTGGCGTCTGCACGCAGGTGCTTATGAGCCTGAGCAACTGGGAAACAGGAGCCCGCGGAGGTCGGCCCCGCCGGTCGACCCCGCCTGTCGGCCGCGTGGTCCCATCCAGTGCGATGCCGCTGTAGTGTTCTTACCTCCGCTGACATCTTCCTACAGTGACAGTGTGACAGTGAGAGTGTAATTGTCACTGGGCAGCATTAACTCAAGACCCACTCCCAGTGTGAAAATCTGAATTAAAAATCCACACCTTGTTAGGAAGGATTTGGGCAGAAAATGAGGGTTTAACATTCAGCAAACTAAGGTTTGCTAGTTTATCTCTTTTAAAACATGGTGTGTGGGGCACTGAGTCCGTCCAGAAATCTGTTCTTATGCCAAGTGAGATAGGAAGACTGGGTCTCCAAGCACCGTCCAGCCCCGCCACCTCCGTGAGTTTAAGACAAGGAAAAAGACCTTCCCACTTTGTAGCTGGTGTAGTTTCCTGCCGGAAGGCAGGAGACCCGATGGGATGGGCCTCTGGGGTCCTTACCAGCCCGAAGTCTGTAACCTGGCAGTCTTCTTTCTTGTGACCTGGTGTCATCCTCGGGCAGTTAAACGTGCTCCACGAATGCATCCTCTTTCTAACTGTCCTGCAGAGTGGTTTTGGATGGAACCGGAAACTTACAGATACGGAGCCCTACGAGGAAAGAGCAAGGAAGATACGGGTGCTCTGCAGTTAATCATCTCGGATCAGACGCAGGAAGTTCTTCTGTGCTGTATGCAGGTAACGCCCATTGTTGAAACGCCCATTGTTTGTGGGGGGGGGCGTTGTTTTTAATATTAAACTCTAGAACAGCGGTTCTCAAACTTCAGTGTGCACCAGAACTACCTGGGGGGTTGTTAAGACAGATCTCTTAACCCCATTCCTGGAGATTTGGACCCAGTAGGTTTGGGATACAGTCTGAGAATTTGCATTTTTTAACAGTCTCAGGTCATGTGGACACTGCCGGCCTGAGGGCCACACTTTGGAAACGACTGCTCAGGAGCTCGCTTTCTGAGAACTGGGCATTAATGTGGAATCAGCAGCACTGATCACGTGGCTTTGCCCCTTTAAGTGCCATGAGCCACTGAGAGAATAATTACTCTTGCGAGGTCGCTATATCCGCCCCTAGGCATGCCCACCACTCCTTAGAAACACTTTGAGGAGGTCAACTGGAAATTAAAACCAAGAAACATTTAAAATATCTGTTTATTAAACTATCTAGAAATAACAATAAGTAGCCCATTACATGTTTACATAAATTACACAGTTTCTGAAAAGTGATATTTTTAAAGATTTACTGATAACAATGGCATTGTTTTACATCTTTGTAAATCTCTTTAATGCCTGACTTAATAAAATACAGCTGGGTTCCCATAAATGCTTCTACACTCATCTTCCATGTATGTTGTTTCAGTTGAGATTCTAGAGAAAATTTAGCTTCATACAGATATGTTAGTTGGAAAAAGAAGGAATATTTTAATAGCCCCTTCAGATAATTGGCTATTCTTTATTACTACACTAAAACTGGACAAATGGTAGTATCTTATAGGTTTATTGGAACATTCAATCTGAGACCATGTAATTTTGACACTCTGTTACAATGAAATCTATTGTTTTATCTTGAACTTTCAATGGATCTTTTACCTATACAAATTTTATGACATTGTGCATTGGGCATTTGGAAAATATTGGCTGAGTTATATACATCTTTGAAATGTTGACACATGTAATTATTCAATGTAAAAATTACACATATTCTTTAACATCTACCCGTCTCATCTCATCAGAGAAGCCTCTGAGTTTTGGAAAGTTACCAGACTCACATTGGAGGACACAAATTTCCCAAAATTTGATTTTTACTTGAAAGCTTGAATTTTATCACAGTCAACAAGTACTGTCAGATGTTTTCCTTGAATTGTCCAGCTCATTTTCATTCATCTAAAAAAAAACATCTGGCCTATATACCCAAGTCCTAGTAATCATAGTTTATCTGTCATTCTTTCAAGTTGAAAAAAAGCAACTAGTTCAGATACCCGTTCACACTGTCACACCGACATACTCAGGCTTGCAGAAGGGCCGTGTGTGTACACACAGAATCTTAGAAACATCTGCACTCGAGGGCTAAGATTTAGTAAAATTAATGAGATTTACTGCCTCATTAAGGACATCCTTAGGGGAAACTAGCGGGCTTGTTTTTACTGCGAGCGAGCGTGTGGTGGTCAGGAATGCAGGGACTTCTGGGGCCCCGAGGGCCCACTGCTTCAGTTCCTGCTGTCATGCCAGCAGTTTCTACCTCCGCTACTCTTACTATCGGTGCAAATGTCAGCACCACGAAAATGGCAAATGATGCCTTAGTATTGTTAGGAAAATCGCCTTGGCCTCATGGCCCCCCGTGGCCCATGCCCTACCCTCAACAATTTCATTTTATAAATGGTGAGGAAACAGAGGCTGAGAAAGGTAAGTGATCAGCTGACCTATGGCCGTAGTAGTAGAGGAGGGATGCGCTAGGGCACGGCCACTTTAGGTCAATGTTTGTTGAGGTCAGTGGATTTTAAAAAGTTTGACTTGATCAAATGGAATTGACACCAGTGTCCGAGGCTGAGACTCCTGGAGGTTATATAAAGAAGTTTTGACATGGTACCGCCTACTCAGATGTGTTTCTGCCATACTTTAAGGATCAACCACTTGATATCTGAAGCAATTCCATGGGCCCTTAAAAGTTTTTGTCTTAATTTTTAAGCGGAAAAAAAACAAGATCCATTTTCATTTCCATTTTTTTTCAAGCTTACCTAAATTGTCCAACTTATGCTTAATATCTTTTATGTAACAAAGGTCCTCACTTCTAGATATATTTTTCTAAAATAAGTAAGTGTATTTATTTTTCTAAATCTCACAAAGCTTTCCAACTGAAGCAGTTCAGAAACGGACTTATGTTTCTGAGAGCCTGTATCCAATAAGAGGAAACCGTATAGACAAGCATGTTTTGATACCAGCTGAGTAAGAAATCTCAGGAAGGGAAGGTGGGTGGGGCCCGGGGGCTGGTGCCATGGAATGATGAGCTCTGTTGTTACTTCAAGATTAAGGTTGTGCAGCAGAGGCCAAGGTCAGATCCCTGTGAAAACTCCCCACACGGGTTCTCCAGCCCAGGGACCCATCCAGGCTGCATACCTGCGTGGCTCCCCCTGGCAACGAGGGTCACGGTGCTCAACTATTCCTAACCTCAGTAATTTCTCACTGCATGTAATATTGAAGCCTACAAAATAAAAGCATTTTCTGAGAATTGCCAAATGATACAACATATATATGAAATGATTTGAGAAAACATTTTAGTGTATTGTTTTTTCTACTTAGTAGCTACACTTTTGTTCTTAATCAGCTATTCCCTTTAGGGATTTGACAGTGAAAGTCCAGCCCTACCGGCAGCTCCTCTGCCATACTCCTGGTTTTGTGCTGGGCAATTCAGCTGTTAGGATTTCTGCCCCCTTCTGTAGATTCCATGTGTGAGTGGCAGGGGGGCTCGCATCCTTCTAGTACATTCCCTCTATGCCCTTATTCTGTGCCATTCTGAGCATACATATAGTCTCATCAAAGGTTTTTGAGAATTTGCTGTATAAAAGTCACTGTGCTAAATAAGCCCAGAAAATGCACAGCTGTAAAATTTGGTCCCTGCCCTTGAAACGATCACAATCTAGTGGGAAGATACAGAGATTTCACCAAATAAGTACATGAACGGAGGAGCAGGAGCCCAGAGGGCAGAAGATAACTCGGGGTGTTGGGGAAAGGTTTACAGGGGAAAGTACGTTTGGTCCAGGAGTCAGGGAGTCCGTTGGAGTTTGTCCAAGGGGCAACATATGCAAAAGCTCAGGGTGATGATCGATTGTGGAACGTGCTGGAACCCGTGAGAGGTCCATTATGGCTGGACCCTAGGATGAGCAACATGCAGTGACAAGAAACGGAGAGGTGGCCCAGCTCAATGGGCTCATGTTGTCTGTGAAGAAACATAGTATTTAGTGGTCAGAACAGTCTGTGTTGCTAAGATCAGTGAAGTGGGAGGGGGCGGGGGAAAAATACTACATGGATCATTGATTCAGACCATTAAGAAGCAATTTCAAATCATTAAAAAAAAAAACATTTAAACTGAAACAAAAGCAGACTGTGCCCTCCTTTCCATCCCTGAAAAATCACTCCCCCGTCAGGATTCACCTAACTCTTGAGTCTCAGGTGGCGTCTGCACGCAGGTGCTTATGAGCCTGAGCAACTGGGAAACAGGAGCCCGCGGAGGTCGGCCCCGCCGGTCGACCCCGCCTGTCGGCCGCGTGGTCCCATCCAGTGCGATGCCGCTGTAGTGTTCTTACCTCCGCTGACATCTTCCTACAGTGACAGTGTGACAGTGAGAGTGTAATTGTCACTGGGCAGCATTAACTCAAGACCCACTCCCAGTGTGAAAATCTGAATTAAAAATCCACACCTTGTTAGGAAGGATTTGGGCAGAAAATGAGGGTTTAACATTCAGCAAACTAAGGTTTGCTAGTTTATCTCTTTTAAAACATGGTGTGTGGGGCACTGAGTCCGTCCAGAAATCTGTTCTTATGCCAAGTGAGATAGGAAGACTGGGTCTCCAAGCACCGTCCAGCCCCGCCACCTCCGTGAGTTTAAGACAAGGAAAAAGACCTTCCCACTTTGTAGCTGGTGTAGTTTCCTGCCGGAAGGCAGGAGACCCGACGGGATGGGCCTCTGGGGTCCTTACCAGCACGAAGTCTGTAACCTGGCATTCTTTCTTGTGACCTGGTGTCATCCTCGGGCAGTTAAACGTGCTCCACGAATGCATCCTCTTTCTAACTGTCCTGCAGAGTGGTTTTGGATGGAACCGGAAACTTACAGATACGGAGCCCTACGAGGAAAGAGCAAGGAAGATACGGGTGCTCTGCAGTTAATCATCTCGGATCAGACGCAGGAAGTTCTTCCGTGCTGTATGCAGGTAACGCCCATTGTTGAAACGCCCATTGTTTGTGGGGGGAGGCGTTGTTTTTAATATTAAACTCTAGAACAGCGGTTCTCAAACTTCAGTGTGCACCAGAACTACCTGGGGGGTTGTTAAGACAGATCTCTTAACCCCATTCCTGGAGATTTGGACCCAGTAGGTTTGGGATGCAGTCTGAGAATTTGCATTTTTTAACACAGTCTCAGGTCATGTGGACACTGCCGGCCTGAGGGCCACACTTTGGAAACGACTGCTCAGGAGCTCGCTTTCTGAGAACTGGGCATTAATGAGACAGCGTGGAATCAGCAGCACTGATCACGTGGCTTTGCCCCTTTAAGTGCCATGAGCCACTGAGAGAATAATTACTCTTGCGAGGTCGCTATATCCGCCCCTAGGCATGCCCACCACTCCTTAGAAACACTTTGAGGAGGTCAGAACTGTCAGAGTAATCTTCCCAGGAGGCAGGCAATGTCCTTTCAATATTAAAGTGTGCTTTAATTACGAAGGAACATTTTAGGTGATAAGGTTGTAAGCAGTGGCTCCCTGTGGCAAACTCATGTTCTGGGATTAAAAATAAAACAAGAGAGTGTACCTCCAAATCTCTGGTTTCTGGGGTCTGAGGTTCAAATGGACTAAATGAGGAGTGGGACAATATCAGAGGTTAGATTCCGGGATCCAGACAACTAAGCATTGAGCTTTGTAGCAAGTACTCTTGTCCAGAAACTGAGGAGGTGGACCCGTTGGTTTTAAAAGTTCCCTGAGTCTGTTGGCTGCGGTCTAAGCCCCTCCCCGGACTGCATTCCCGACGAAGGGCCTTGATTTCCTGGGCCTTAATCCTCCTGGGTTGTTCTTTCCTGTGCATATCAGCCCCTTTCCAGAAAACATCTGTTCCAAGATTCTGGAATGGTGGAAGTAATGGCCATCCCCCTCGCAGCTCCGAGGCTCCCCTCCAGTCCATCCCAGAATGATCCAGCTTCCTAAGCGAGCTGGTGCAATGTCCTCGGGGCCCAGGGGACACGCTGAGACAGGCACAGCCCTCGTCCCGCCCAAGGTCTCCTATCTTTTCAGCTCTCAGGATAGCTGTCCACTGTCCCCAGACCTCCAGGAGAGGATGGGACATTTGGTTGCCCAAGCAGGATCGTTCCTAAGTTCTCTTCCCCAGAATCTGTGGTTTCCAAACAGCTGGCTAAGATGCTATTCTTTCATGCGCTACACATGGGCGATGAAACACATTCAGCAAATGCGGCCCCCCCACTCCAGGAGCTCCGGCACCTACGGTGGAGTACGGGGTTCAGCTGCGGCGATAGGTCCACTCCAGGGAAGCTCTGGTAACACCCTCTCTGGGATGCTGCCTCGCCGGCCCCACATGCTACAGAGAGAACCCTGGGCAGCCAGCACCTCTCCCCCTCTCTGAGCTGGCCACCTGAATGCTGCAGGTGTCTGCCGCCAGCCTGCGAGCTGCTTGCCGGCAAGAAGAGCTGTTTTCTGACTATTAATTCCTAGTGTTCAGCTCAGGCACAGAGTGCATTTCTGAAATATCCTCCTGGTCTGTATATGGTCGTTGCAATGCATCATTGTAGCCATTTCTTTGCACCCACCCATTGCCTGTCTGTCCGTCTGTCCCCTGAGCACCCCGAGGCTGTGTATGTGCAGGTGCCCAAGGAGCCAGTACTCTGCCTCTGTCCCCAAAGCCCCCCAGAGGCAGCACGGTTCACCAAAGAGCAAAACCTGAGCCTAACCTTGTTTCCCTCTCCCTTTGACTTAAGAGGCGCCTGTCATCTTGTCTGTTGAAAGAAATATCACCAGACTGGAGCCCGGCCATCTGTCCGTTGTGGTCGGAGGCCTTGTGGAGGCAGCTCTGGGGGCAACTGTGGTGATCCGGTGTCCTGTGAGAGGTGAGTGTGCATGTCTCCCAGCTGGCCCACTGTTGCCAGGGGGACACCCGCTGGCATTTTGGCATCCACACCTCTAAGCATCAGCCTGGGAGGCTCCAAGCTCTTGTTCTCCAGCACAGTGGCAGGGAAGCCATCCCTCAAGGCTGAGTCCTCACCAGGGAGCTCAGAGACCAGTGTGGAAGCAGAGTGCCGCTTTGCTCAAGGCCCCTGAGGGCTGGGACTGCTTTGCACGCTGGCACTGGCAGGACCAGGACGAGGGTCCCTGTGGCAGGTCTGCCCACGAGGCCAACTTCCAGCCTAGAACACGGAGTCCGAGTGAGGGCATTTGTAGGAAGCTGTTAGAGGATCTCCAGCAAGAAGGGGTCTGTGCTGGGCCCAGCCAGGGTGGGCAGGGGCTGGCGCACATCCCCTCCATGCCATGGCTGGGTGGGCAGCACGTCTGTGCCCAGTGGCTTTTTCTGCTTGTTTATAAGGGCAGATAAATTTCTGTTCTAAGCAATTCATTCTGTCTTAGGAGAAATAATACTTTCAGTCTGACTTTGCCCTAACCCCACAGCCATTTTTCCTCTGTAAACCACAGATTCTTTATCTTACCGCAGCCATGTGCCTCCAGGTCGGTTTCTCGAAGAGATGGTGGGCTCCTCAGAACTAAGGTCTCCTGCTTTAAGGTGACTGTGCATGGGCCTGTGACTTACGTGCATTGATTTAACTCTCGGGCCAGCTGTGTCTTCCCGGTTTGCAGGTTCTAACGAGGTGCCCGTAGTTGCAGCCACTTACGATGAATCCAGCTATGGCTGTGAGCCAAATAGCCCAGGGTGACTGGGGGAGGCCTGGATGCAGATCTCGGTGACACCGTGAGGGTGCACGGAAGGAAGGGGCCCTAGGACACCCCACCCGGGCCCCGGCTCCCTGGCCCCTGCAATGGCTGGTCCCCTGCCATGTTTCCAGGGCTGCACCTTTGCCTCCACAAACTGGAAATCTGCTAACCCCCAAGGTATTATTTTTAACCCCTTGGAAGTCCCTGAATGTTTGGCTTACACAGGCTTGAAAAATCCCTCCAGCTTCCCAACTGACTCCACCCACAAGTATGTGAGTTTTCTGGCAAATGCGTGGACCGTTACAGATCAGGTCAGCATTGTCTGGTCACGGCAAGGAGGAGAGCAGAGCGGAACTTGGCAGTTGCCAACCCAGAAATGTCTAGAGTTTCTACAGCCTCACCTGCAGAAGATTCTGCAAAATAGATCTGACTTCTATTAAGAGAAACCTCAACTTTTAACATTATTTCTAAATTTCTTACTTCCACACTCGTTTAATATCAGGCTTTCAGGGAGATGAACTCTTGAGAGGATTGCAGTGTGTAATTCGCTGTCCTAACAGGGGCTGGATTCACTGGAAACTCTTCTCGAGTGAAGCATCTAGCAAAGACCATTAAGCTCATCTCAGTTTTATTCCCGTGGAGGGCCCTTCTCTGGCCGCCCCGGGTTCTAGCAGCCCCTGCTGGCCTCGCCATTGCAGCCCTGGGGCCTGGGCGAAGCTCAGGGCTGGACGGGCTCCTCTCCCTCCTCCCTCCCTCTGCTTCCAGCTCTTATTGGGATTGTCCCCTTGGTCTTTCTTTACCTGGCAGTCATCCCTGGGGTACTAGACCCCAGGAACTAACCAGGAGTCCTCTTCTCTTCAAAATAAACCTGTCTCATTTTGAGTTCTGTGCCATTTTAAATAAACCTGTAGTGAACTTACTGTTTTCTTATGGGCAGAAGCCATAGCTAACTTAGCCTATTATGGAAAGCCATCTTTTTAAAGAGAACTGGGGAAGAAGATAGAGGGTTTTACAGACAGTTCGGTCATTAGCTCATATATGACCACAGGTGAGACATGCGTCTTCCGACCCTCTTCTCTGAAATAGGAAATATTCCCTATTCATGGAAGAAGGGACTTTGGTTACGATTGAATCCAACTCCTTATGTTACAGACGAGGGCATAATAATATTTACTTGAATGCTGCTGTACAAAATCACATTTGCATATTGCAAATCGCTATTATGTCTGTAAATGGGTGGCATGTATACATTTTTCTTTTATTTTTCAGTTGCCCGTAAAAATGCTTTCCACTAATTATCCAGAGCTCATCTAGCCATACCTTTTAGACCAATTCAGTTTTTGTCATAGCCAAATATGTGTTCTTTAATTCAGTTATTGATAATGATTGATTCTAGTCACTGTTCAATGATATTTCTAATAACCGTATCAAATCTGTATTTCTAGAGGTTAAAAGTTCTAAGTTGCAAGAGTTATTTGTCTTGCTCTTTTTTAAAAACAAAGTTTCTTCCAAAAATGGGAAGAGGTTTAAACTGTACCTCTCTGCCACCTTCTGGTAAGAAAGGAAAGCTCACCAGAGGAAAATGACCCATAAATACCAATAACTGCATATTTAATTTTTTCTCCTGTTAATGCTTAGTTAGATAAAATCATTTATCTATGATTTTCTGTTACATGTGTATTCTGTGTTCCTTGTTTTCTTATTCCTTAAGCTCATAAGGAGGGCAGCCGATCTGAGTGTCTTCTCTGAAGTGTTCTGGGTGGGCGCTGAGCTCCTCTTGGTCTCTGAGAAGCTCTCTCGGCCCACAGACGGGGATGGGGTTGAGCCAGGAAGATGGTGATTCCCAAATGGATGATGCTGGCAACACCCCCAGTGCCCCAGTCCCAGGAGTGGAAAATCTCTTAAGCACAAAATGAGCTGAGCAGCTGCTCCTGAGAGCAGTGAAACTGCCTGGAGGGGCTGGGCTGCTGGAAAATTGAAACTAAGCTCGGAGCAAACGTTGCGGTGCCAGTTATAGGACACAGGTGTGTGCCTGCCTGAGAGGAGAAGCTCTGTGGTGCCAACTGCATCTGACTTTCCACCAGGCGGCTGGCGCACAGGGATATACAGACAAGCGGTGAGCAGAGACGCAAATAAACACATAAAATGTTAAGA